CCCCCCCCCCCAAAAAAAAAAGTGATTTTGAAATATTTGACTCGCGGGCTTTTATATTCACCGACACAGCCCCTCCCCTCAGGGAGTCAGACAGGCTGGCTAAGTGAAGCAGGAGTCGGAGATGAGACGACAGCAGCAGCTCAACAGCGAGTTCTTTCTCATGGGCAAAAAAAGAAAAAAAGGACATGAGTTGGTAATAATTTAGTCCAAGAGGATAATCGTAAATTTGGTCAAACGTTAGACTGGTTGATTAACGTAAACATCTGGCTAGGTAGCAATAAACATTAAACAGCATTACTAGTCAACAAAAATGGCAAATTTGACAGTAACAGACAAAAACCACTTGACACGAAATAAATAAAAAAAGTAGAATCTCCACTTAAAAATGGAGTTTGTAAGTGTGATTGTTGCTTGTTTGTGACATTCTCGTCAAATTTTATTTTTAAACCTTATTCATGTCACTTTTTTTTTACTAGAGATCAGATGAAGTTCAGCAGGAACCAGCTGAGGGTGAGACAGGGAGAGCCAGACCTGCTGAGGGTGAGACAGGGAGAGCCAGACCAGCTGAGGTGCAGGTAGGTGCTACAGTGAAGAGTGAGATGATTTTAGGTGGCTGATGAGAGGAAGATTTGAATTTGATAACAAGTGAACACAGTTACATTTATGTAATCCCGTAACAAGTTGGGTTGGGCAGTGTTGCTAAAAAATAAAATAATTGTGTGCATGATTCCTTAGAAATATTTGAAAAAACAAGTGTTAAAGTCTGCATTCTGGTGCATTTAGACTGTTTTTTTCTTTTGGCCATCTGAAAAATAATTTATTTCCAGCTGTTGTTGTGAGTGAATTGTTATTTCTTTTTCATTCTGTCAGCATTGTTGATCAGCATTGTTGGCTGATGTATTTTAAAGTATTCTGATAAAAGTCAAATCAATTCAGACTGAATATTCACAGCTTTAGTCTTGTATTAAATCTGTTTACACATCTCTCTTATGTATAAGGTAATATATCCTACATTCAGATTATTAAATAAAAATAAAACAGTACTGACAGAAAAACTGCGTTTTTTAAATAAAACATCCACGTTGGCCGATAATCAAACCTGGATCTGGCTAATGGGGAGCCTATGTCTCCTCCCCTTCTGGTTGGCTCATGGGTCCCCGAGCAAAAAATAAATAAATTAATTAATGTTAGTGAACTGGACTATAAGTTATTTTCTTGTCTTTCTGGGCTTTGCCTTATGCCCTGAGTAACATCTGTCAGGCTTCTCATATCCTAGAGTTTCACCGTCTATTTTCTACCAGAAGCTAATGCAGGAGATAGCTGTAGGAGACTATTTTCATGTTTAGCCTGCATGAAAAACTCAGAGTGACCCATTAGAATCAGAAATAATCATTAAATACATTTTGTCTTAGGATTATTAGGAACACCTGCTCAACTTCTCCTTAATGATAAATGACCCGCACTTGTATGGCGTCTCTCAGAGTAAGGACTCCAAAGCGCTTTACACTACAATGTATCATTCATCCATTCACACACACATTCACACACTGATGGGGATGAGCTACGATGTAGCCACAGCTGCCCTGGGGTGCACTGACCGAGGCGAGGCTGCCAAGCACAGGCGCCACCGGTCCCTCCGACCACCACCAGCAGGCAAGGGGGGTTAAGTGTCTTGCTCAAGGACACAACGACAGCGACAGACTGAGCGGGGCTCGAACCTGCAACCTTCCGATTACTGGACAACCCACTCAACCTGTTGAGCTACTGCTGCCCAATTATCTAATCAACCAATCACATGGCAGTTGCTTCAGTGCATTTAGGGGTGCGGTCCTTGTCAAGACCATCTCCTGAACTCCAGACTGAATGTCAGAATTGGAAAGAAACGTGATTTAAGCTATTTTGAGTGTGGCATGGTAGTTGGTGCCAGCCGGGCCGGTCTGAGTATTTCACAATCTGCTCAGTTACTGGGATTTTCACCCACAACCGTTTCTAGGTTTACAAAAAATGGTGTGAAAAGGGAAAAACATCTAGTATGCAGCAGTCATGTGGGCAAAAATGTCTTGTTGATGCTAGAGGTCAGAGGAGAATGGACTGACTGAAGCTGATAGAAAAGCAACTTTGAAATAACCACTCGTAACAACCGAGGAATGCAGCAAAGCATTTGTGAAGCCACAACACGCACAACCTTGAGGCAGATGGGCTACAACAGCAGAAGACTCTACCGGGTACCACTCATCTACACTACAAATTGGAAAAAGAGGCTACAATTTGCACGAGCTCACCAAAATTGGACAGTTGAAGACTGGAGAAATGTTGCCTGGTCTGATGAGTCTCGATTTCTGTTGAGACATTCAAATGGTAGAGTCAGAATTTGACGTAATCAGAATGAGAATATGGATCCATCATGCCTTGTTACCACTGTGCAGGCTGGTGGTGGTGGTGTAATTGTGAGAGGGATGTTTTCTTGGCACACTTTAGGCCCCTTAGTGCCAATTGGGCATCGTTTAAATGCCACGGGCTTCCAGAGCATTGTTTCTGACCATGTCTATCCTTTCATGATCACCATGTACCCATCCTCTGATGGCTACTTCCAGCAGGATAATGCACCATGTCATAAAGCTCCAATCATTTCAAATTGGTTTCTTGAACATGACAATGAGTTCACTGTACTACAATGGCCCCCACAGTCACCAGATCTCAACCCGATAGAGCATCTTTGGGATGCGATGGAACGGGAGCTTTGTGCCCTGGATGTGCATCCCACAAATCTCCATCATCTGCAAGATGCTATCCTATCAATGTGGGCCAACATTTCTAAAGAATGCTTACAGCACCTTGTTGAATCAATGCCATGTAGAATTAAGGCAGTTCTCAAGGTGAAAGGGGGTCAAACACCGTATTAGCATGGTGTTCCTAATAATCCTTTAGGTGAGTGTATGTATTGACCTATTGACCTGTCACAGATTTGTTAGATTTCCATAATGTGTTCCCCAATATTAAACTCGTTCCTACGCCCTTGGTGTAGCCTATAGAACTAGACTGAGAGACCATTTAAAGCACAGGTGTCAAACTCCGGTCCTCGAGAGCCGCTATCCCACATGTTTTAGTGTTTTCCCTGTTTCAACACTCCTGATTTCAATCAGCAGGTGGTTAACAGGCTTCTGGAGAGCTTGATGAGCTGCTGAACAGGTGGATCAGCTGTGTTGGAGCAGGGAAACAACAAAAAGATGCAGGACTGGAGTCTGACACCCCTAATTTAAAGGCTTTTGCAGGTGTTTTGAGTTAATTAGCTGATCAGAGTGTGGCACCAGGGTTCTTCAATATTGAATCGCTTCACAATATTCCAATATTCTGATGCAGAATTTGGGATTTTCATTAGTTGTCAGTTATAATCATCAAAATGAAAATAAATAAACATTCAAAATATATCAGTCTGTGTGTAATGAATGAATCTAATATACAAGTTTCTCTATTTGAATGGAATTACTGAAATAAATCAACTTTGTCATGATATTCTAATTTCATGGCCAGCACATTTATTTAGGGTTATCCAGAATAAAAGCAGTTTGTTTACACTCCTGGTGCCAAGAAGCTCTCCTCATTCCTTTTATAGTCCGAGTCAATAGATCAGCTTTCAACCCAAACAGCACGTTTACTGAGGGACTCCACATTTAACTATAGACCTGGTGCACTCATGTGTGTGGTTCCACATTAATTTAGTGTTATTACTGTCATAATGCATGGATTTTATTGGTAAACACAACTGCTGCACCACTTGTTGCCCTGATTATTGATCTTATCACACTGAAATCCTTCGAAGTTTTCACCAACTCTGTTGGAATTCAAAACAGGAAATGCAGAGCAGCGTGGGAAGCACAAAGTCCTCTCCCAGAATCAGACTCCAGCTATGATAATCATTCTACTTCCTGTTCCCATGAAATCCTTCAAAGACATGAAGCTTCTTTGTCAAAAATTGTTCCTTTTGTTTCCAGACATGCCCTCTTCATTAGTCCATCATTCCATCTCTGTGGGACAAAAGACAATAGAGAACAAACCATGCGCCTGGTGGATTGTTTCAACATGTTCCAGCTGAATGAGAGGAAGAAGCACCCTCTAGTGGAGAACTTTCAATCCTAGAAAAGCTCTGAGTTCTGGGTGAGTCTGTTTTGTCATGTTTCCCTTACATCCAGTCACAGAGCCAGTAGTTAATGAGGGAAAAGTGCAGAAAATCTGGTGATATGAAATGAAAGAAAGCAGCTCTGCTCCTTGGAGGCTAATGTGTCCTGGCATGAACTCTGAGAAAAAGAAGATTTGTGGAACAGAAGTCATTCGGGCATTCCTGGAGCACTCTCTGATGGAGGCTGCTGCGCTGCAGCCAGAGGCCTTGATGGAGTCGAACCAGGTTTCCCGCAGCACCAAACGCTGGCGAAGGAGCTCAGATGGTTCAGGCTGTGGCTGGAAGTTTTATTTATATGCTAAAGAAACTTTTGTGATATTTCAGTTTGTCTGGATAACACAGAATAAGCGTTTGTGTCACTTTACTGTTACTTATCCCTCGTTTTATGCTTTTACACATGAATAAACATGTTTACATTCAGCAAACAACTCAACGCACAAATAAACACAACAGCAATCTGGAATGTTAATGTTTGTGACTTCACTTACTAAAATCTCATTGTTAAGAGTTTGTTAAAATGTTCGTTATATTTTCATCTTCTGAGCTTTATGAGCAATGTGATCTAAAAAATTCTAACTTAACTTTTATGAGTCCAGCGAAAAATGAACTCATGCACACTGGTGTTGATGAGAATGATGGAAAGGGCCTACATTCACATCCTTACAGACTTAAAGGTTGAAGGAGACCAAAAGGTCCAGAGAACCTGTGAGATTATATGTGTGTGTGTGTGTGTGTGTGTGTGTGTGTGTGTGTGTGTGTGTGTGTGTGTGTGTGTGTGTGTGTGTGTGTGTGTGTGTGTGTGTGTGTGTGTGTGTGATAAAAGAGAGAGATCTCAGTTATGGCGTAAAATTGTTACGTTGAGTGTAGGAGGTTGGACCCAAGATGCAGAAATCCCCAGAACGACTCAAGGCAGGAGAGGTCTTAAGAAAATAATTCCTTCATTAAGGAGGATGTGCAAGAAATCCAAAGCACAAAAATAAGATTAAGTTCTCAAAGGCTAACTGAATGCTCAAAAAATAAACAAAAGCTCACATATGAGCACAAACTCGGAAATACTCGAGAGGGGAGCGACCAACGTAGACACATATGACAATGAACCAACAAACACGGAGGGACAAGACAGGGCTTTTAACACAGAGGGGAGCAATCAGGGGAACAGGTGACAGGTGTGAGGAGTGAGGTCTGGAGGGAGGACAAGTGCCATTAATATAACTAAATGGGGGGAAGAACTAAAGCAGAGGGGAAGATAAACCATCATCTCAAAAGTGCTAAATAACTAAACTTAAAGACTAAGGACAAAAAGATAAACAACTAATGACTGGCGGGGTGAGGAGAACTAATACAAACCACGAACTATAAGGGAGTGACTAGGAGGAGACATGAGGGAAGCCTAAAGAGAGCTGGGGAACACAAGAAGACGCTTGAGGAGAACCTGAGGAAGAACAGGAGGGGGCTGGGGACCAAGGGGACACAAAGATGACAAAAATAACTGAGATGGAAGTGAAAATGACAAAAAAAGACACTAAGGGGAAAAAAAACCTTAATGATTGAAGTTACAGCAATTTTCCCTCCATAAGAAACAAACACTGGAGTTACAAAACAACTCTCATGATTAATTCCATGCTGTAGTTCTTTTTTAAAACACAGAGCAGTTTTGTTTACCTGTTTTACCGCTATGTAAAACAGGTAAACAAAACTGCTCTGTGTTTAATAAAAAGAACTACAGCATGGAATTAGAGATACAACACAGCAAGAACACACCTAAGAAACTCATGTTAGTTTTGTGTCTCTTGCGGGTTCTCTTCTGTATAATCCCCAGATTACATCTATTTCTAGTAGAATGCTACTAAATGTTTCAGTGAATACTTTCTGTGGTATATCTTCCACTGTTCTCGAAATGCAAATATTGAGAAAAGAACTTTATATTTTCATCTGATACATAATTTTAATTTTTTATCTTTCGGCTGCCTCATTTTCCTATCATCGAGTGTCACTCACAACAGAGCAGGAGCTCCGATGGTCTCCTCTCACATGCAGATGGAGGAAAGTCTCTGAGTTTGAATTGAAGACCACAGCTTTGCCTCGCTATGTGCTCAATTTGCTGCATCAAATGTTTGTTTGTTTTCTTCAACTCTCTGTTCTTGGTAAGTATAAGGTCAATGATTTACCTTGAGAGTCAATGTGCTGATGAGGTCATTTGTTAATGATAAACTGAGCTTTTAAACAACGGGGGATTTTAACAGCAAACCCTTACTTTTGGTGAAAGTAATTAAAACACTGATTATGATGCAGATATTTTACATTTGACAAAATTGATGAAAGAACACTAACGTTTCCACTGAGTTTACATTTTTGTAGCATCAAAAGGATTAATGTAATCTTTAAAAACGATTAGAGGTGCGCGTCTGAGGCGCTTCTTTGAATTTTCATGGGTAGCTGAAACAAAAGAAACAGAATTTGGTTGATTATCAGTGTCACACTCACATAAAGCAACAAGTTCCTGCAGGTACAAAAATAAAAGGATTCATACAGGATCCCAGATCTAGCACGATGGTTGCAGGTTTGAATCACACCTGAAAAACATTTCTGCATGGAGCCAGCATGTTCTCGCCGTGCTTCTGAGGGTTTTCTCATGAAATGAAATCTTCCGGCACTCGCAGAGTACAGACCCTTCTGCTTTTGCTCCCTTATCTTTTTTCCCAAGGCTCTTTGTCCTGTCTGCCTACAGAGCGCTTCTCTGCATTTCTTCTGAAAATCCCTATTTTTTGGAAATGGACTTAATTAACTCGATTGATAAGATTTTTTTTCTACGATGAGAACGGAGGAGGGGGCTCCCAATTGCCCTCAAGGGACACACGCAGCGGGATATGCGCTCGATTCCTGGAAAGAATGATCCTATGCCTCTCTCAGTTGTCCATTGAGGATGTCGAAGAAATGTGGATATTTGGCCTGATGATCACTGGATTTCTTCTGATTGGGTGGCAGGATATCTGGTTTTCTGGAAATTTGGGAAGACGGGAGCAATTGGAGGGCGACCCGCACCCACGGAAGGCACTGCCCGGGCGGATGCCTCACAGACTGGGATGTTACTCGAGGTGAACTGTAAGCTGGACAATGTCCTAGCTGCGTTACCGGTATTAGTGCACAAAATGGATGTCATCTCGGAGAGGGTCACCGGACGGTGCGGAGATGTTTAAAACCTCAATTGGCTTCACTGGAGGACGTGAATGATCGGTTACAGACTGAAGGCAGAGAGGAAAATTATCTCTGCCTGACCCAAACAAAGACTTGTTATCCAAATCTGATGCCAAGGCAGCCTTCAAGCTGCTAACAACAACCCCCACGAAGGAAGGAATGCAGACAGATGCTGTGACCCCCCCCCCCCCGCCATCGGATTATAGACTTCTGCCTGGCAAGGTCTTCAACCTGCAGGAATCAATGTGCTCTGCGCTCCTCCCAAGATCTCCCTCCCACCTGTGGCTACAGTTGGCTGAGCGCCATACAGGGCTGCTCCCGCTGGGGAAACAGGATCCCAGCCCCCCCCCCCATTGGAGCCTCATGTTGTGAACTGTGATGTTCGTGCTTATATGTTTGAGGCGTTTTTTTGTTTTTTTGTTTTTGCATAGTAAAGCTACGCCCTGCTGGGAGTAACTCTGGTATGCCTTTTTTCCCTCCCCCAATTTATCCTCATGTAATTCCCTTTTCATCTATTAAGGTAGCGCGACTCGTGTTGCGAAGGACCACAGTCACCAATTCTTGTTATGTGTCTTGCCCATGTATGTCTGATCTCTGAATCGTGTGTACTGAAACTCTAATTTCCCTCTGGGATTAATAAAGTTTTGATTGATTGATTCTCTTGTTACCCCCGATTACCTCCGACTGACCATAAACATGCATATTAGATTAGCTGGAGACTCTAAATGTCCCTCAGTGTGAGTGAGCCTGACCATGTGAAGGACTACTGACCTGTCTGGAGTGTCCCCCCGCCTGATATATGCTGTGAGGATGAAACTGTTCTATGGATGGATGGATGGATGGATGGATGGATGGACAGTTATAGTTGATGGATGATGGATGATGGACGGACGGACGGACGGACGGATAGATAGATAGATAGATAGATAGATAGATAGATAGATAGATAGATAGATAGATAGATAGATAGATAGATAGATAGATAGATAGATAGATAGATAGATAGATAGATAGATAGATAGATAGATAGATAGATAGATAGATAGATAGATAGATAGATAGATAGATAGATAGATAGATAGATAGATAGATAGATAGATAGATGAGTGGGTGGATGAATAGATGGATGAGTGGATGGATGCTAAATGAATAACAGAGTGTATTACTCTGTTATTACTATGTTTATGTGTATTATTTAGCTGGTGCATTATACAAAGCTGCCTACAGTTATGGATACAGCAGCATTTGAACCCTTTGGAGCAACAAGGAAGAACCTGGAGTCCCGGAGAGAACTAGAGAGAACATGCTAGCTCTGCACAGAAAGGTTTCAAGTGGGTTTTGAGCCTGAGACATTTTTGCTGTGAGTCAACAGTGCTACCACCTTGCACCACAATGCAGCCAGAAAAACTCACAAGATCACTTCCTTTAGTTTCTCCTTTTTGATTTGAGATTAATTAAGTTAGCAGTAGAACAGATCTCCCTACTGTATGAATCACAGCATTACACTTAGGTTGTTGCCTTTATTTTTCAGGCATCTGGAATCGTCCTCATCACAATTGGAGCCCTGCAGTACTCCATTTACATGCAGGTCGGCACCTTTGCAGGAAGCGGTTTGTCTAAAGTTGCCATAGTCCTCATTGCACTAGGCGTCACCATCGCTTTGGTGTCCCTTTTGGGACATTTTGGTGCTTTTCTTGATAATTCCTCCATGGTGGCTTGCGTAAGTGCTTCTCACCCCTGAATCAAGTTGTCTTCTCACATATTTCACTTTTTAGATGAGGCTGATTGGTATCACTCTCTTTATTTCCCATATAGTTCATCTGCATCCTGATAGTGATCATCCTTTTGGAGATCCTCATCGGAGCAGCATTTTATGTCTTTCGCAGCAGGGTGAGACACTTTAATCCTTCCCCAAAGGGGAACAATTTTAATTCAAGCCAGGTCAAAGAAATGAAGACTGCCTCTGATGGTATAATAGAGGTGATGTTGCTTTGATGCCACCAAAAGCAGCATCTTAATCCTGTTTTCTCTGCAGATGAACAGCGGGATCAACACCAAAGCACGGATGGTGATCAATGAATATGACCCAAAACACAAACACGCCATCGACAGAATTCAGGAAAAGGTGACAAGAACAACTTAATGTTTGAGATTTGTAAAATATACCTGAAAACCTGAGATTAGGTGAAAAATAGTACAATTGATGTAAAAGCATTTGTACACATAATAAAAGTTTTTGAAGTGTGTAATTTAACTTTATTTAAACCATATTTCTTATTTAAAGACAGAGCTGTCTTTCTACCAGACCTGTCGACTAGGATCGTTTGATGTTGAGACATGATGGAGTTCAAGTTATTTTTGTCAAATTTTGAAAATAAAATAATCTGTAATCTGAGCTAATGTCACAAGATTCTGTTGCCCCTCTGTCAGCTGTTAAAAGACCAGATTTAATCTCAATGTTTGTGAAGCTGACTGAGTCGTGGCCGTTTTTATGTTTGGTAAAATCTTGTAACTTTTGCTGCAGTTCCTCTGCTGTGGTGCAGACACTTACACCGACTGGTCCAGAAGCGTTGGCTGGAGGAATCCCGATGCTGTGCCAGATTCCTGCTGCAAGCAGAAAAAGGAGAGCTGTGGACAGAGCAAAGAGAACGTGCACACCAAGGTCTGCGGGGAGATCTGAAGAATCCCACTTCTATTCTGAGAAACAAACATTTCAGGGATGTGCTGTCCTCCTCAGGGATGTACTGGAGCTATCAAACTCTTTCTGCTGAAGAATCTGGTGTGGGTCGGCGGTGTCTGCATTAATCTTGGAGTCACAGAGGTACACTGATTGTATCTGTACAGAGCTTTGTTTCAAGGAGCTATATAAATAAAGTTAATATTGTTAGTAGTAGAAATAATAAGCTGTAAATCTGTGCACAAATCTCTGAAAATCACCAAGAACTTGTGAAAGAACCATCCTGTGGTTCAATCAAAATGTCTTCATTTTCTAAGACAAAGCAAACAAGATGGTCACAAGTGGTTAATAAGTTCATACATAAATGAATAAATTTTAAATATGTCCTGTTCTAACCTTTTGTTTATTGCAGATCTTTGGAATATTAGTTGGTGTGTGTTTGTGTCTGGATATAAAACAAAGGCGCTATGAAGACATCTACTCATCACAATGATCATCAACAACAGCTGTTAAATTATTAGTCTGCCACAGCAGATCATCTTTCAATGTGTTCTGCAAATGATTATGTGACAAAACGCATGAAAACATCCTTGATCATTTAAAATTCTTTGGTTTGAACTATTCCAGCAAAGCATCTAAATAAGAAAAGTCGTGTGTGACACATGTACACGTTAACACATCTGCAATAGTCTCACATTTGAATTTCCTCCTTTGTGTAATTATAATTAACTCTTTGGGATTCGTGATTGGTTGAGAATGTCTAGAAAAACCTATAGCAGAAAGAAAATGCTTAATGGAATGTATAATAAATAAATAAATAAATAAATAATACTTTTAAAACATAAAATATAGATTTATGGGATTTAATTTTGACCGGCAACACCTCGCCCGTCCCTTTGCTTCAATTAATTGTGTGTGTGTGTGTGTGTGTGTGTGTGTGTGTGTGTGTGTGTGTGTGTGTGTGTGTGTGTGTGTGTGTGTGTGTGTGTGTGCGCTCTGTCTTCTTGATCCCCAGTGAGTCGTGGAGGATGGCTGCTTATACTGAGCCAGGATTCTCTGGAGGTTTCTTCCTGTTAAAAGGGAGTTTTCCTCTCCATTGTTGCTATATGCTTGCTTAGTATGAGGATTGCTGTAAAGTCACTGACACTAGTCAGTGACTTGATGCAATTTGCTGGGTTTCTTACATAGGAAACATTTTTTTCTGATTGGCTTAATGAACTGACCTGGATTGGAATGTTTATTATGTGAAGTCCCTTGAGATTACTCTTGTCGTGATTTGGCGCTATATAACTAAAAAATTGAATTGAATTGAAATGAATTGAATTGAATTAATTTCACTACATTTCCCAGAACCCCTTTACAGGAAATGCGTCCGCACGTGAAAACCGTCCGTATCCACACACAGGAAGTGGCGCGTGCTCAACAGCAAGCAGAAAGAAAAGTGGAGCTTCTTCACAAATTTCGAGTCTCCAAAACAAGGTAAAGCTCTGCATTTAATGGGAGAAAACTCCAGACCAGGTTAGACTTTACTCGTGTTTTTATTAAACTTCCCAGACGAGCTAACATGATGTAGCCAACATTCATAACAAACAAGCTAGCTCTGAACAAGCTTTCATCAAGTAAACAGCTCGTTATTATTAGCATGATTATGTATAATGTTTTCTGTACATATCTTTGGAAATGTTTAACTTTTTAATCAATGTTTTTTTTTCTTCTAAAGCAGCATGTCTGAGTCTTTAAAGCGGAGAATTGAGGCGCTGGAGGCAGAACTGGAAAAGCTCCAGTCCCAGTTAAAGGAGGAAGCTGGAGATGGTGATGAAACGATGACAGACTGCAGGTCTGATGGGAGTACCGTTAGCAGTAAAAAGGAGGGGAAGAAATCAGGAAAAGAGCGTCCTTTTGACTTCACAGCACATCCCCGACGCCATGTGGCTCTCAGACTGGCTTACCTGGGCTGGGCCTACCAGGGCTTTGCCGTTCAGGAGAACACGGACAACACTGTGGAGGCCAGGCTCTTTGAAGCATTACTAAAGACCCGCCTGATTAAGGACAGACAGAGCTCCAACTACCATCGGTGTGGGCGCACAGATAAAGGAGTCAGTGCTTTTTCCCAGGTGAGTTTGTGTGGATTGAAAACTTTGTCTAAAACTTTGATTTTGTGTAGTTTCCTAACAATTTTTTCAACATAAACTGGAAATTTTCTGTTCATTTCAGGTCATTACAATTGACCTGCGCTCTACACAGTTTTGTGGAGGACCAGGCATCACCCTGCCTGAAAATACTGACCTGAGCTCCAACACAAAAGGTTGTACGTCTGAACTCCCTTATGTAAAGATGCTGAACAGAGTTTTACCTCAGGACATTCAAATCTTGGATTGGGCACCAGTAGAGCAAGGATTCAGCGCCCGCTTTGATTGCCAGTCCCGCACGTACCACTACTACTTCCCCCGAGGATCCTTGGATGTTGTGTTGATGGCAGATGCAGCAAAAAGGTGCCTAAAAATACAGAGTTGTAATTACAAGTTCTCCATTTTAAATCCTAATTAGAAGATGCTGTTAAATCAACAGATACGAGGGGACTCATGACTTCCGTAACCTGTGTAAAATGGACGTGGGGAATGGAGTCCTGCAGTTTGAGAGAACCATTCTGTCAGCCACAGTCAAACCCTTGCAGCCCCAGCAGGTTTCCAGCACAGACCAATGGGATTTCTTTGTGTTTGAGATTAAGGGATTAGCCTTTCTTTACCACCAGGTACCAAAAATACTTATCCAAGAGGTTATTTTTACATTAAAATGTTACAAACTGCCATATAAAACACCGACCTGTTATATTTTACCTCAGGTCCGTTGCATGATGGCGGTGCTTCTTTTGATTGGGCAGAAGCTGGAAGCTCCAGACATAATCGATGAACTTCTGGATGTTAAAAATAACCCCAGAAAACCTCAGTACAGGTGAACTATTCTATTTTTCCTCTAATGTGAGATGTTTTTGGACAAATATGAAAACTGCTTCTTAAACTCAATTTAAATTATAAGCAGTTAAGAGCACAGTACAAATGTTTGTTTTCATGTTTTGTCTGGCCTGCAGCATGGCGGTGGATTATCCTCTGGTCCTGTACAACTGCCACTTTGATGGTTTGACCTGGCAAACGGAGGCTGATGAAGTGAACCACGTCCTGTCATCGCTGCAGCAGCATTGGACTCAGAGTGCAGTCAGGGCCCACGTACTGCACAGGATGATCCAAGGGTTGGAAGAAAGAGGTGAGAAGATGACGGAGGTTAATGTTGTTGCTTAGTTTTTGGTCACTTGCTTATGGAATGGGTTGTTTTAAAACTTTTGTTGCATGCTTTTAAGGGAAAAGTGTGCAAAACGTAACAGAGAAACTTTAAACACTATTCAGACACAAAATTTCTGACTGAAATTTGCGAGTGCTTAATAATAATAATGTTTTGTACTGGGACTTTAGACAGAGCCTAATTTAAGAAAAATAAAATGAAACACATTTTGCTTTATTTCTTATTGCTGTCCCTCCTCAGGTGGTGTTTCTTCTAACCATTGCTTGTTGATAGAAGGCAGCAGGCGGAAAAACTACCGACCGCTGCTGGAGCGCCCGTGCTGTGAGAGCCTGGAGTCCAGGATCAACCATTTTGTTAAAAAAGGCAGACTGGAGCGAGAGGATGGGGAGAATGGGGAGGAAATGGTGCACAGAGGCAAAAAATCCAAACATTCCCACAATTCCTCCAGCTTGTCTTTTTCCTCAGAGATGCCAAAACTAACTAGTGATCCAAAAACAGATTAATTTGCTTGTACCTCCTGGTGGGAAACAGACTTTGGACCATATGTCACATTTTCTGTTATAGAACAACATATTTGGATTTTTCCTCCTTGTACCGTTTTTATTCATGCCGTTTTTTTGTTTTGCATAAAATAAACTCGGCTGTGGCCTTTCTGAGTGGAGTTGCGTGTTCTCCCCATGCATGCGTGGGTTTCCTCCGGGTACTCCGGTTTCCCCCACAGATCACAACATGCCCTATAGGTTATAAATTGTAAGTCGCTTTGGATAAAAGCGTCTGCTAAATAAATAAACATAAACGCTTTTGTGGGATTTTTGTGTTTGAGTTGTTTTTGAAACAACGGAACTAATTGTAATGCTGGAAGACTGTCGGAGTAATTTGGGAGTTACTCTTCACAATCTACAGAGCGAGGTTATTAGCAGCCAAGTAGAGTTAAAGTCAGTTACTTAGAGCAATAAATTTGGTACAGAACCGCTTCCAAACTCATTTGTTTGTCCCTTAATGTGACCGTAGTTTGTGAAAATGGCAGCGGTCATGTTTAACCGGTTATTTTAGGTCGTTTCCACCTGACAACTTGTGCTAACGTTAGCCTGTTAGCTGCTCTGGCTGTTTAAAGCTCCAGTTGTGACCCCGCACGGATTTCTGCTAAACACCTGCTGTTGACGGAGTGTTTGACGCCAATTAAGGTAAATGAAAATCATTTTACAACAAGTCTGATTTGATTTATGCGACAAATAAACTCAGGCATAAATAACCTGTCAGACTGGCGTCACTGGCCCGTTAAAAGTGCAGTCAGTGTTTTAACATTGTGTTTGATCAGAATAACTTCGACAGGGGGACATTCTGAACTGTGGAACCAGTCTGATAATCAATAAATATATGAAACGTGATTATAGTGGAGTTCTGTGGCGTTCCAGCAGGGGGCGTGTGGAGAGGAGCCAGAAAAACAAACTAAACATATTTTTAATCTAATTAACTTTGATAATTGAGCCACGTTTGGCTTTGAAATTGGTTTATTTTAAACCTGAAGAAATCAAATCTCCCAAAAATACTACGGGTTATTCATAGTCTTTTATTTAATCCAGTTTGTATGTTTTCACGTGTATGATCTGTTAGAATCAAAAATCCCCTTTGTCAAAGCCTTTTTTAATAAAATATTCTGAGCTAGAGGAGTTTCAGGGGCTCCTAGTTCAGAAAAAAATAACTACCATGTATAATAAATTCTCAGTTATATACAATCCTGTAGTGTAAATTATAATACACACTAATAGAGCCTCTAGTTCAAAATAAATGCTGCTACACGTTTAGGAATACAGGTAATTAAGAGGTGGCTTAAAACTAGCAAATGCATTTTTGGGGGTTTTCTAGTGATAATATTTATAATAAAAAATATTACGTTTTTCCCACTTGTTTACATCTTATAAATCTGTTGTTCATCTATCCAAAAGGAAGAAATGGAGAGAAGTGCTGCTGATGGTGCCTGATTGTGTTTGTTGCTGCTTTAGATGTACCTGGTGGGACTGACGGGAGGCATCGCCTCAGGAAAAAGCACAGTGTCTTCCATGCTGCGGGAGCTTGGCTGTCCTGTTATAGACGCTGATGTTGTGGCCAGGAAAGGTCAGCTTCTTCCTCTCCCACTAAACTAGTCCCACTTTGTCAACAGGGGCTAAATGTTGGTCAGAAAATCGTCCACTGGGCGTCTTCTTCAGGCGGCCTTCCCTCATAGAAGCTGGGTTCATTAAGATAAATGCTGCCAGAGACTATGAATCACGAAAGATGTCTCAGTGTTGTAGCACAGATTACAAAGGTCACAAAGTGGGTTTAAAACCCACAACCGCTCGTAAAAATTACATAATTACACCATTTTCTCCCATTCTAATTCAGTAATTCCCTTCTGCAATGATTTAAGAGTTTAATATTAATTTGATGTATTATCTAGTTCAATTGAATCCAAAATGTCTTTTCCTGGTCTAAGTGGTGGAGCCGCACACTCCCGCCTATTCCCGCATCGTTTACCACTTTGGACCTGAGATTCTGCTGGAGAACGGGGAGATCGACAGGCAGAAGCTGGGCCAACTCATCTTTGCTGACGAAGAGAAGAGGAGGCTGCTGAACTCCATCACCCACCCAGAGATTCACAAAGCCATGCTTAAAGAGATCCTGTTCTTCTTCCTCAGAGGTGCTGTTAACAGAATCGTGTTCCTGGCTCGTGTGTTAGCCACGACATCAAAAGAGCCTTAAAGAAACATTTTCATGCACCATTTGTTACATGAAACATCATTTTCTGACCGTTTATTGTGCCGAGTGTAAAGACGCTGACGCTAATCATTCCTGATCTTTATTGACACCTCAGGGTACCGTTACGTGGTCTTGGATGTCCCCCTCCTGTTTGAAACCAGGCGTCTCACTAAGTTTCTGACCCACACTGTGGTCGTTTACTGGTAAGTTCATTCCCTTCATCAGCAGAGTTTTTCTTTTTGTTGTTACTGGATAGTTGGAGGTTTGTTTGTGACACAAACAGGCCATTAAGGGCAGTTTTGTCACATGCAGGCACCCTTCAGCTGTCTCCTATTAGCGTGACTCACTGCTTCCTGACAGAACCTTCCACTCTGTCTGTTTCTCAGCGACCCCGCGACCCAGCTGCAGCGCCTGGTGCAAAGGGACGGCCTGACCCAGGAGCAGGCCAAGCAGCGTGTGGCCTCTCAGATGCCTCTCAACGAGAAGCGTGGTCTGGCCAGTCATGTCATCGAGAACTCGGGCGGCCGGGAGGAAACCCACCGGCAGGTCCTGAAGCTGCACACGAAGCTGGAGGACTCCATGGACTTCCTGTTAGTGAGGCTCATCGCCATCGCCACCACGGCTGGTTTGGGCGGGATCCTGCTGTACGCAGCCAAGATCCTCCTGTCCTAACAGAGGGATCAGAGCTAGGGCTTAGTCTGAGGTGTGCTGAATGTGAAGCTGTGAGTAGAGTCAGACAAACGCCTGGTCCAAGTTACCGATGCAATTCACTGTGAAATTAGTTTCACAGCGTCTTCCATTTTGGCGCAGCAGTGTGTTAACACAGCTTAGACAACTCACTAACAAATGCGACTTAGTGGGAAGGGTTTTACGTGCAATTTATTCTCCCTTTTCCTCAGAAACACTAAACGATGAAGGCAACACAGGAGAAACTCAGTTCTGCTTAGTTATAAAACAAATTCTCCTCAAGGCTCGGCCCAGGAACGCTGGTGAACTCTGTGCTTTTCACAGCAGTCGTTGGAAAGAGTTAAAACCCACAGTTAATTTAATTATTTTAAAAACATTTACCTTTTAAAAACGTGTCATGAAACTTGAGCTTTTTAGTTTGCTCTCCTATTTGACACAGAGTCGTTTTTTACCGTCTGCACTTTAGAGCATTTTAAAGTGGGTTTTAAACTCTTAGCAGGAATGAAGCTGGAGCTCTGAGGAGGTTCTGACCCAACTACAGCATGTGCTGTTGTCATGGAGCCTGTCTGACTGAATGTATTAGACAATCTGTTTTTACTGTGAACAGCAGAAATCAGCCGAGTTCACACTTATCACTGTATTTTCTTACATTCATAGTAAAAAGTGTGTCATTTTTTTTTTCTTTGCACATTTGTAACTGAAACATTTCTATTCTGATATGATTGTTTTAACTCTAACAGACCACAGCACTGTTCGAAGGAAACAGCAGAACGATGGTGTCTTGTGTTTTTGTTCTGTGTGCGTGTCTGCTCTCCGGTGTTGACATGTTCCCTTGGTTTTCTCAAGATCACATGTTTAGCTTTTCTTGACACAAACATGCCAGTTTCATCTGATCTCAAGAAAACAATATGTTGTTTTCAAGGGATACGGGGATTTTTATCTAAGATCTAAATTATAACAGAAAACCGAAAGTAGTATACCTTTTTTAGGTAGATGTTTGAAATATATCCTAGTTTTCATGACAAAAACAACTTTTTCAGTTAAAAAAACAACTAACCCTTTATCTCAAGAAAACAAACTCTTTAGCTGAAAATAGCAAATATGTAGCTCACCGTCTCAAGATGAAGTAATGAAAATACGTTTTTGAGCACACATTTTTTCAGCTTGTGTACAAATTGTTTAGGATTTGATTTAAAAAATGACTTCACAGTTGAGCAAAATAAGAACGTTAGTTTCTGTAATTTGGAGCAGCTGCTCGTTGTGTTTGGTTGATGTGGTCTAACCTAGAAATCTAGACAGGAGCCGAAGCAAAATTATTTTGTTCGGCGTGACTCCAACGGTGTATGGTGAGCGCCCACGTTGGTTGACATCTATAGCAGTGAGTATGTCACGTTCTTCTTTTTCCAAGACCAAGAGGACAGAGTTTGAATGACAGCCGTAGATTTGGCCCTCGACCGAGCTCTCTGTGGATCATGGACAGACCAGATATTAAAGGTGTGGTTGAGTGAATTTTTTTTTGTAATTATTTCTGATTATATAATCGTTCACTGAGTTTTTCATGCAGGCTGAACATGAAAACAGTCTTCTACGCCTATCTCATCTGTTAACTTCTGATAGAAAATAGTGAAACTCTAGGATTTAAACATCCTCACATATCTATGTCACACTGAATTTGCATTCATGGCCTCGCCCATCTTGGCTCATGCCCGCCCACAGGAGGGCTTGTTTCTTTTTCTTGCAGCGACAAGAGATCAGTGTGTTGGGGATAGTGACTTTGCAACATGACCAAACATGTTCTGTTAGCCAATCAGAAGGGAGATATGTGCATATCATTAATAAAAACGAGCAATCCTGCTGTTATCAGCCCACCTCTGCATCAGCAAACTTCTGCATCTCAGAACAAGAGCATTATAGCTTTTTTTAATGACATGACTAATAAGGTATTGATTTACACTAGAGAACACTGCAAATGTATTGAATAAATAAATAAGCCACACATTTAACATACATAGGATGGCTTGCCAGGCCATGTTTAGTCAGCATTGACTTGGAAAAGTCCAAAATTCCATGTTTGGTTTTCTGCTGTATTTAAAAGCCAAGAAAAGGAGAAAAACTTTTAGGATACTATTGTACTGAACAAACTAACAAAATAGTGTGTATTTTTTATTTATTTAATAGTTTTGATGTCCAAATATCTACTAAAATGATAACTTTTTTTTTGTTTGAAAGAAACAACCCCTTTTGAACTATTGTTAGCATCAAGTCAAATCACTTCTGCCTTAAAGCGTCCACATGGTATCATGATTAGTACCTTCATCAGAAACCTGTCCGTCTGGCCTTTTACATGTCTACTGCCCTCTGCTGGAGGATCTCTGTGGTAAGGGCCATTTTTTTTCTTTATTACTGATAAATTGTTTTAATTATGTAATAAAATAAAAATTATATAGCTGTTTTGTTAACAGACAATACATTTTCCAGTTTAAAGAACAATTTTTAAGTCAATATTTCTTATTTCTTATTGGCATTACATGGTTAAACAGACTATTTTTGAGCTCTTCTATCAGTCTTGCGTGTTTGCTGTTAAAACAACAATGCTAACCTCTTCTGAGCCAGATGACTAATGAGTCGAGTCTCTGATGATAAATCGTATTAACAGAACAGAAACACATCATCTTCAGCTCCGTTTTTCTTCTCTAGGAACAAAGTTTCAATAATTAGATCCTACAGGAAAATGTCTCAGTGACGGGCCTTCAGGAGAGGGAATAATGAATTTAGTGGACACTTATGAATGATGTCTCTGCTTGGGCAAAAAGCTCAGGCCCACAGGCAGGTGCGGTTACATCATCCTGGCATTGAGGTCCCGCAAGTCGTGGCTCACTTGGCTGCATCTAAAGCCACACATTGGTCCGTTCTTTGTTTTTCTCAAGGCACTGCAGCGGTAATGCAAAGTGACTTGGGCTGAGGCATGCGGGGGCAGTCAACCGTAGGCTGTGCTGCAACATGTTAAGACACGTATGTAATAAACAAAATTACATGTAAATTTCATTAAGTGCCGGCGGCCTGATGCAGGCATTCTGGGGGTTTCCTGTCAGCTTGAGTGATGGAGACGACTGTGGTCTACTTATACCAGCATCCAATGGCTTTACAAGATGTTCCAGCTTCTTTCTCAAAGGCCAGGACCAGAATGAGGACAGGAGTTTATATCTGCACACGTTGTGGCAGTAGAGAGTGAAAACTTTAAACTTAAAGTACACACCTAATTTACTTGTACATTTTTTTTTACTGCTCTAAAGTAGTGGAGTATCTCACACAGTAAAAGTCCTCTTTGCCCTCACACATGCTGTTTTACAGTCCCTCTTGGCAGTAGCGGAAAGCATGAGAGACGATGAAAACCCAGTCAGACAAGAGATTCCAAAATGTCGACGCACCACGGTGCCACGGGCTCGCTCTTTGAACAAGATGGTGAGATTGTGCACGTCTTCACCCCCCGCCGTTAGAAAATTACTGGGTCTGTTCCTGGAAAGGACCCATTACAGACACTAAAGCAGCTGGTACACTTTCACAAAGTCAATCAACTTCAGACGTTTCCCCTTAGAGCTCAACACCTCAGAATTAAAGACTTTATATTCAGGCTTAGGCCTCACCGCCATTCTTTGCCTGGAGGAGTCACACTTTCTGGTGTAGCCCTAAAGGCCCATGCCTTTTTACAGGTTAAACGAGTAGAGCGTAAACCATTGACACAGTCGTAGAACAGAGAATCAGACTTTCATCCTTACAGAGTTGCTGTAAACTTGGGACTTGAAGACTTACATGTATGACGGATGCTGTGGGATTTGGGAATTCCTGTCCCAGCACAACCAAAGCAAGAGACCAGTCCAATCCTGTTTGTGGTGTTCACGTCCCTTTAGAGGTGTTCCAAGCATCTTCCATGTGAAGATGACCTTGGGCAGACAATGAACGCTTTAGCTTTGGTTCCATTGTTTACATGGTAAACGTGGGCCATACAACTGACTCAGACTGCAACATTCATGGGCTCACTTTAGGGGCTAGGGCGGAGCAGCTGGTGCCACAACACAATCCATTGATTGGGGGACAGAAAAATGTCACTGCTTGCGACAAGCAACGCAAACACCAGTGTGCTGTTTGTGTCGTTATTTGTACGCAGATGTGAGAAGAAGTTGTTGCAAGGTTGGGTCAGCTTCAGAACCCCAACCATTCCTCACTAGAAGTCATTGATAGCCACATTTGGAACGGCATGCATTTTGGTTTAACCTCATCTGCCAAGAGAGTTCAACTGGTGATGGAAACGCTGTTCTAAAATCGCTAACCCATAACGTTCATACCGGTTCACATCGACCTGCTCCGGTGCGTCGCGGACCCCTCGGTGGAACCGAAGCTTTTGAGATCTCCCACAAATTGCGGGTGAGTGTATCTGCAAAGATGGTTGCCAATGCTTTCCCCTGTTACCTCCATGATCTGACGCAACATTTTCATAAGTGACACATCAAATTTCTGTTTTCTGTGTGTTGAAGCCCCATGACAGCTGGACACTGACATTTTCCTCTGTCCTATCGGGTTCTGTAAAACCTTCCACTTGAGGAAAGTGCTCGTCAAAGTGCTGGGAATGACCAAAGTACTGTTTTTCACAAAGTTTGTTTCTTCAGAGTGACTAGATTTTTATTTATTTGTCAGACACAATTCGCCCTGGCATGCTGTCAGTCATCCCCTGACTGATGACGGCCAGCCCTTGCATTGTCTGTGCTCGTGGGTTTGTTAGATTTTTTCAGTTTTTGCATCACCAAACTGTTGTTGGATGGTTGTGGGAAGATGATGCTTAGGTCCCATTTTTTTATTCACGGCTCTGTTCTGAGTCCGCTCTCTTGACTGAGAGGCGAGCCAGTAGCATGACGCAGGACTGACGGTGGTGCTCACCTTTTCTACGTTGAACAATCTTTTTTCAAATAATCTTTGCAACTTAAATGCAAATAAATGAGAGAAATGACATTATTTCTATCTTCAGCACTGCTATTCTTGTACATTTGTCCATTTGGCAGAATATCAATCTATCACTGATGTTTATTTTAGAGATTTATGGCTTCTTTGCTGCCCATCTTGACACCAGGCCACCCTCCTAAAGCCTCACTGTGCATGCAGATAACCTTTCACCTCAGCAGCTCTGCACTGGTGGTGTCCTAATCCCAGGTGTGTAGCAAGCTTTACAAAAGTATAGGGGATGCTGATATTATTTGTGCAAATATACATAAAAAACCCATCTCACACTCCACGGGTGGTCTCGTCCTTCCAAGGTCGGGTCCTCTACCATAGGGAGCTTGAGGGTTCTGCGCAGCGTCTTAGCTGTTCCTAAAACTGCACTTTTCTTGACTGAGATGTCTGATGTTTTTCCTGGGATCTGCTCCAGTTTGGGCAATACTGTGCACAACCCTCAAGCTCCCAGGCCTCTGTTCTTGTAGCTTGTTTTGTTGACTTTCTGTAATAATTTAATCTCTTTTTTTGACTTAAATAAAAAAAAACTGGCTAAACCATCACATATGTTTTGTATCTTTGATGAAGTTATAGCTTTCCTGTTATTTAGACTAACAAAGTTGTTACCTGTGTTGATTTTTAAGTTGTGTTTTATTTTGAAGGAGTTTACAGGAAGTGCTAATGGGCAATGTCCTGTTTTGCTTCATGAACGCTGCCTGTAATAACAATTGCGGGCTGCTAGAGGATGGAAACGATCCTTAATGTGGAAAGCCAGACATTTAAGGAAAGAGTGTCTCCATTCAGTTGACCCAAAGTTAAAGTGTCATTAGTTGTCACACTCACGAACATCATATACGTAGACGCGAAGTGGATTGGTGCTGCCTATTGGAGCTGCCGCAGTGGCCGACCGTCATCTTGGATGGATCTCTGTTCGCCCCATGATTTGCTCCATGATTTGCCCCCAGTGCATTTACTTCTACTGGGGAATGTCTTTACCTAACTAAAAAACACCTTTAGTATGCTTTTTCACTAAATCATAAATGTGGTTTGGTATGGTACAATAAAATACAAAATATAAAAAATATAAAATGCCAACAGGTAGGCTAGAACAGTCAATAGTAATTCCATGTGATCTCTTTTCAATAGTTTTGCAACCGTAAGCTGCACAAAAAAACAGGCATAGTGATCCAACCTGCATTGACTCCAGTTGGTGTAGATGCTGTTCCGCCGCTCTTCAGCACCCAGTGGCGGGTCTACTGTAAATCCTTTATAGACAGGATTTACAAGTAGTTACTGCATTTCTATTCTGTTACTGGTTCCTTTTGTTGTATTTGGCTTTTTATTGAATTTTTTGAGTAATTTATACATTCATTGTGAAATCCAAATACATTCATGCTTTTCTTGTTTAAAACAAAATATGGACCTGTAAAAGAATTCTGTGTCAGCATCAATGACTGAGAGTGTTTGTTAGATGTGGTTGGGTGTTTATTGGTCTTTGAACTAATAGTTTGATATCTGACATATTT